AATGGCTGTAATTAAGCTAGCCTTCTCCTCTTCTGTAGATTTGACCTTTCCTTGTAGGTCAGCTAATATATAACTCAGATTGTTTAACCTTTCGTGTAAAGATTTGTTCTCATTTTCCAAATCATTGTTCGTGTCTTTTAAATCGCTATTTTCCTTTATAAGTGCAGAAAATTCACTTTCCTTGTCAGCAATTCTGAGTTCTTTAAGCTGGTTAGAGTGATCTGATAACGTCCTATTTATGTATGTCATGCTCGATACGAATTGATCGGATAAGACTTGTAGTTTAGCTTGTAACTGGCAGTTAAGGATTTTAAGATAAGTCTCTTGGGAATCGTCTAGGTCATTATTTGGGTGGGATTTATTTTCGTTATGGCTGACTGACCTGTTTTTTTCAACAACATCCACGAGCTTGTCCTCGTCGTTAGCTAAACCCGCTGAAATTGAGGCTAATTTCAACAGCTTCTCCTTGAGTTCCTTTTCGTCTTTACCACTAATGGTGATCGATTCGGTATCAGAATACCAGCAGATAGAGATGCTTTCATTTTGGTAAAGCTTTGCGTGTCCTCCCGGCGAGGTCCATTCGCCGTCTGACAAAACCAAGACTTCTGCGACAAATCTTTGTAGAGCCTCAAAATCGGCTGTCCATTTGAGCTTTCCTTTGCTGCTAGTAGATAAATTATGTAGCAGACTCATTCCAGTAATAGTTTGCTCTGTATCCATCTTAGATTGCGTTGGTTTTAGTGACTTTTTAGACATAAAACGAGGAGCTCCAAACCGAGCACCGTATCCACCATCTCCAAACCGAGCACCGTATCCACCGTATATCACCATCATATATGTTTAAAGCACAACATTCACTATATGGACGATGATGATATGGACAAATCTCTTTTGAATCGCTCAAATTTACATTTGAACAAAGTAGGAGATAGAGAACTAGGGAGTGCCTTTTGCACGTTCTTGAAATCAAATAGAACTAGTAATACTAGGCAAGTACCGACTACAGATGGTCAGCCTTTTTTTCGACTAACTGGACATCGCATGAAAGAGTGGACAAATTATCTAAAGCATGTCAGTCAAGTACTGAGAGAATAATTAATATAGATCCGTCAAATAAAAATGTGGGTAGCAATTTTTTCACTAGCCTTAATTCTATTCCCAATGAAAGAGGGATACTGATGATTCTAGTGAATTATGTTATGAAGATGCATGGACTGTGATGATGTTCGTGAAGCTTGATTTATAATGTAGACAAACAGTGACGATACTGGTGATATATAAATTGTAAAATGGTATAAGTGATACAAAAGTCTGAACATTTACGCTGAATTGATACATGAATAGTAAAACTGCGTTGTATATGACTCGATTAATTGTTCTTGTGATGATCGCGCAGGCATAACCCGGGTGCGTTAATGTGATGTATTGTGATATTACCAGGACCTGGGTGAATGTCATTGTATCGTCACCCAGGCCATCGACGCTCTAGCAACTGAGCTACACGGTCAGACGGATTTAAGACTGGAAACGGCTATGAAATATATACCGAATGTCATAAACATAGTCGTTTATATTAATTCAGCATCGAACAATACTAGTTCTGCAAGTGTTATGTTAAGTTGTGAAAATGTTTTAGAGTGTGTATTATATAATTTCCATACCCAGCGCAAGCAGAAAGATGTTGTCTGCCGCGGGTATGGAAATTATATAATACACACTCTAGAACATTTGATATATATATATATATATATATATATATATATATATATATATATATATATATATATATATATATATATATATATATATATATATAAATATAAAAGTGACAAAGTAAGTCATATCTCGAATACGCATGCGTACTACATGTCGTAGTTTCAAAGCAGCGTAAAGAGCCATGAACGGACTATGGCTTTAGTGTGTCCTGCTCACATTAGCAACTGTGGACAGCTGTTTCGCTCTTTTGGGGCTCATCAGCATATATATTATATAATATATATATATATTATGGTCTCAAAATAACATAAAAAACACTATATACCGCGGGTATGGAAATTATATAATACACACTCTATATACACACTCTATATACATATATATACCACACTATACACTCGAACAGACTTGGCCTCGTAGCTCAGTTGGCAGTGCATTGGACTAGTGTCCCAAAGGTCGCGGGTTCGATTCCCACCGTGGTCAGGGCTAACTTTTCAGCCTACCCGGTGTGGATATACACTCAGAGTAAGATAAAGAACATAGTATTAGAAGAGTTACACGGATCTTACCTTGCTGCTTTCCAAGACTGCTTTAAGAGAAACTTCCTCATCCACGTTTTGATATTCTTTTCGCCAGTTCACTATGCCTCCTGGTCGTTCAAAACACAGCCGGCTCTCTCGTTCGTCCTCACTAGCAGAACTACTAACGACTTCAGAGTATAAGAGATGCTTCGACATATTCAAAAACAGAAATATATCTCACAGAAGCTAAAGGTCGGTTTTAAAGACTTGAGTAATGTTTACTCGGTGACTCGGTATCGAGAATGGGAAGGGAAAATAATCATGGTGTCTTATGAATGGATGTGGATTATTTCATCTGTAGTGTGATATGACATATATACAATATACCCTTAGAAAATGTGATTTGCCGCTTGGTTCACGTATTTTAAAAGCCCAGATGAGCACAGCCGACTGGCGTTATCCCGGACACCCTTTAATTATTGCCTAAGGGAACACGAAGAAAATGCTGATTGGAACATATTTATACCGTATAGTACTTCTTTTCTATTTAAAATATTGAATATAGAGTTTTATTACTTATTACTCGTGCCAGGCCTTTGGCCGCTGCACGAGTATAAGAATGCATGGGGAGCCTTTTTTTGTTGTTTTTTTAGATAATATATTAACTTTTCCCTCACGAAGCTTTGTTTCTCCTACGGAAATTGTAAAGCACTTTCAAAATGACGCACCGAGTACAGTTTTAATTTGGCAAATTAATGTTTGGTTTATCTTCCTTTTTTTTGAACTATAAATAATGTAGTGTAGATTCTTTGCGTGATTGTATCACAGATTTAAAGTTTAAACAGCGCAGGGCGTCGACGTATTCGCTTCAAAATCATGTGAAATGCATCTCATCTCATCTCATCTCATCTCATCTCACGAGGCATTATTTCTTAACAGACGTTATGATAGCGAGGTTTAGCAAAGACAACCCGACGTCAAAGACGACGTGAAAATGGCGTATAAATGGCGTAGGCACATCCATAGATGGGCATATAACGCCATTTTTACGCCATTTTCACGTCGTCTTTGACGTCGCGTCGTCTTTGCTAAACCTCGCTAATGCGTCTACGAGTAGTTGCGAACCAACGAATATTTTGCCCTTCAGCCTTCGAAGTATTATTATTATTATTAATATTTAAACTTATTTAAAAACGGTGGCCCTTCAGCACAAGGAAACTGATTTTCAAGGGGCCGTTTGAATACAATATTAAAAACCTATTATACACACTAATACTTTAACTAATATAAACACACTAAATAATATATATGTATATAAAGTAACAAATCAGGATTAGAAACTGTATGCCATACCAAGAATACTTTTAAATTGATTAATCGTTATGCCCTGTTCTTTTGCTGAAATTGGCAAACTATTCCATAGTAAAGCCCCAGAGTAGCCAATACTTTTTTTCAAAAAGTTAGTTTTAGGCTTAGGAAAATGGAAATTAACAGCATTACTTTTAAAATTATGAAATTCATTGTTACTAATTTCAAAAATATCTGTCATAGGCTCATTTAGATTATTGTTTTTCACATTATACATGAAAGTTGCCTTTATGAATTTCATTCGTTCTGCAAGTGGCCGCCAACCAAGTTCTGATAAAATCTCACACGATCTAATCTCATACGATTTGCCTGAATTGACCCTTGCAGCCCTGTTCTGCAATTTTTGTAAATTTTCAATTAGATAATTACTGCATGTATCCTAGACAAGGCTACAATAGTCAAAATGAGGCAGAATTAGGGCACTGTAGACATGCATTAAAGTAAATTTCGGTACGTAAGGTTTCATTCGTCTCAACATACCGATTCCTTTTGAAACCTTGGCAATTGTAGCGTCGACATGATTTTTCCAAAGAAGCTGGTCATCTACTGTACCACAACCCCAAGGTTTTTATTTCACTTACTCTGTTGACTGCTGTATCGCCTAATCTAATTGTAGGAGTTTGGATATCATTTAAACGTTGTCTAGAGCCTATCAACATATATTCTGTTTTTTTCGATATTTACAGTTAATTTATTGGCAAGCAACCAGCGGTGAACTTTTTCTAGATCCTCATTCAATTGACTTTGAACAACTTCGGCCGATATACCGCTAGTTGTTAAATTTGTATCATCGGCAAACAGACTTGCATTCGAGAAAGATAGACTGTTAGAAAGGTCATTTACATAAATAAGAAGTAATGGGCCCAAGTTAGACCCCTGAGGAATTCCGCAAGTAATAACAGCCGGAAAGGACACCGTTTGAGCAATTTTACACATTTGAGTACGATTTTTAAGATAAGATCGAAACCAATATAATGTCAGTCCATTGCAGCCGTAAAGAATTAACTTTTTTAACAAAATGTCATGGTCTACGCAGTCAAAAGCTTTCCTTAAATCAAGGAATATTACCCCGTTTAAATATCCTCGATCCATACTTATCAACCATTTATTAGTTACATCCAGCATTGCTGTTTCCGTTGAAATTTTTTGTCCTGAAAACAGATTACTGGGAGGCAAGTATTGCATTATTTTCCAAATACTCATACAATTGCACTGATATTAGTTTCTCGAAAATTTTGGCAACAGTTGTCAGAACTGAAATAGGTCTATAGTTGCTACATTATGTCTTGCTTTCACTTTTATATAATGGAGATATTATTGCAGTTTTTAAACCATTTGGAAAAATACCTGTATTAATTGACTGGTTAAAAATATGAGTTAAAATTGGAGAATTATTTATGCCGAATCTTGCAAAAGCTTTGGAGGTGTCTTATCATGTCCGCAAACTTTGGATATCCTTAATGTAATGAGCAACTGAAATACATCTACCTCTGACACATTTTGTATTTGAAAAGTTGAATTACTAGGAGTAACATATGATTCAGGTGCATCGGTAGTATCTGGTAGTTCGTTAGCTAAATTTTCTCCATTTGTCTTAAAATAGGTATTAAAAGTGTGTGATATCTCATTTCGATCTTCGATAACATTATCATTTGATATTTTAAGCTTGGTGATCGTAGTTGTCTTAGATTTTTTATTTGTTAATTTATTAATTGTGTTCCACATATTCTTTGAATTATTTTTCGTATCATTTAGAACACTCGTATAATAATTCTCTTTTGTGTCTTTAATAAGTTTATTCAACGCATTTCGGGCTCTTTTATATGCGACAAACATGTTTTCAGATCCTGTATTAATTGCATTTTTCTTAAGAAAATCTCGATGATAAATCTGTTTCTTAATATTGTTTGTCATCCAAGGAGTGTACTCGCTTTTAGCTTTTCTCGTAATTTGAGGTGCGTGAATGTCGGCAACAAAAAAATCTTGTTTTAAAATCTTCCCAGAGTACATCTGGGTTGTTATTATTTATCGTATGTTGCAGAATATCCCGAAGCTCTGTAAGAAACGAATTTTTATCACAATGTTTAAATTGGCACGAGCGGATAATTTTTGGTTCGTTACGTGGAATCGATATTTTTTTACATACGTAGATTAAACTGTGGTCACTAATGCCAAGGTGATCTACACCCGACATCGTGATGAGTTCTAGTTTATTACATAATGCAAAATCAATCAGTGTCCTAGAGGCTGCCGTTACACGAGTGGATTCCTTAATCATTTGCTCAAATTGATAAGTTCTCGCTAGAGTAGCCATAAACTAAAGGGTGGTTTTAATTCAGAAAGTACGTAACATAACACCAGTCGTTGTGTTGTATGACAACAGGATAAACATTTAAACTTTACTCCTACTGAACGTATTACACAACGCAATTGCAAATATTATAATTGTAAATGCAAATTATTCCGAATTAAAAAGGCAGAAATGAAAAAACGCATTCTTCGACTGCATACATTATAAATGTAACGTAATACCATAGGATGCCATACTGGAGGTATTGGAGTATTAAATGTAACTCAATCGTGACCCTCGAAATGGTACTGTATGATTGTACAGCCTTGATCTTTCAAAATTGCTGTCTAATACATGGCACGAGTTAATCCTGCAAGGCCAGGATCTTGTTCTCTCTGGGGGAGGCTTTATAGAGAGAATACAACGGTACGTATAGACAAAAAATGATCCAAACAATATACATGGCATTATATATGTTAATATTGAATAATACTATTGATAAAAACCATTAAATACCTAAATGATAATGTGATTTCTACACACTTTATTCAACCCGCAACTCAATAAAATACACGGTTTAGAGCTTTTTTACGACCCGCGACTTTTTACCCTTGACACGCGACATTTTACCCGCGACTTTTTACCCGCGACCCGCGTCTTTTTACCCACGACCATTAGTCAAACTCATCGCATTTTACATATGTTAAATTCCCATTGTATTTATGCATATTTTGGGTCAATGAACATGACCTTCAAAGTGGCATTGAAATATTCACGAGTAAATTGTACTTTTTTACAAGGAAACTAAAATAGAAACACATGAGTGAATTCAGGAATGTTTACTCTTTATAATAATACTTTAAAACATGAATTTACTCAATAAAAGTGAAGAATTATCGCGGTTTGAAAATGAGCTCTTTTGCTATATTCTATAGGGAGAGAATAAGTCTTGTGCGAAAGAAAAACAGACCAAAACTATACCTCCTGCTGCGCTCGAGTAAGAAACATATGCATAGCAGAGCGTCTTGAGCGATATATCCAAGTATTTTGAAAGTTGCATACGAACTAGTCTCACTGAGTTTTTTGTACAGAAAGTATTAATCAATTGCCGTTCTTTTAGAAAGGCTTGAAATGCAAAATTCACAGGGAAGATTGAAGAATTTATGAGTTAAAAACTGTTGGTCTTCGAGTTTCACTTTAGCATACCTCCCCGGATCAGATAAGGAACAAGTACATAACGTTGGAGTGAAATGACCAGCCTTTACCATGGTTACGTCGCCGCCTCTAACTCGTGGCTAGCCCTGGGTGCGAGGTTGTCCTGGAGGAGGGATGGTCAATTCTGGAATTGGCTGGTGCGTTATTATATATTACATATGTGTATTATAATATATGTGTTTAGATGCACATTTACAAGGTAGATTCAAGATAAATAACAGCTTGTTATTGTGAACAGACTTAGAGAGGACTTGATAATTATTCTCTATATCTAAGAAGTGGCGTATTGGAGAAAGGGCATGTTAAAAACTATGGTATAGGCAGTTCGTTTAGTATAATCTGTTATTTTCTCGTCCATAACACTAAGATCAACGATCTTATATGGTAAATCATTCATACATGTTATTGAAACAGGCGCGGATCCAGCCTAAACCCTGACCGTGGCGCACTCCAAAACCGCGCATAATTAGGGGGGTCCGGGGGCATTCCCCCCCGGAAAATTTTTGAAATTTGAACCCCGGAAATGCCATTTCCTGAGTTCTGAGCATCGAATTCTATCATATAATTCGTCATTAATTACGCCATATTTTAGACAGCAAATAACGAAACGCACTAAATAAGTCAAATATTTAAACAACATACCATGTTCTTCAGCGAACGTTACAACATTAGAATGTTACAAAATCACTGTACTTACATAAATCCACAATTCTGTACCGCACGTACTGTTCCTGTGTATTTCAGGTTCTTCGTAGCAAAAAATATCCAATTAGGGCTGTACATCGAACTCAATCATCTTGGCGTTTCAGTTGCAACGTAGGTCTTTTACGGGGTGGGTTTTTTCCAGCTGCACATCGATACCAATTAGTGTCTTATTCTCGATCATTCGCTTAAACTGTGTAGCACGGAGAGTTGCCGTTGTGTGAACATTGGATTTTTCACCATGCTGACATAGTTTCTGGACAGCAGAAGCACTTGGGAAGAGCACTGGTCATCAATCGTTGGAGCTCGCTTGCATTATGCGTGCTTTCACTGCCAAAAAGAACACAAGTGACGCAAAAACCACCGTTTGCCACAGCAGAGTAAGCCAACTATGGAAATCGTGATAACCATGCCAACCGGAAACGTCTACCAATATTTTCGTGTGGGGGAAAAGAAAAATCAGAACCAGGTTTCCAATGGCAACGATTGCACAGAATTTCGTACTTTTTTGAATCAGGAAGACTGGACACCAGATTTACGTAGTTTAGATATGATCTGGCCACGAATTGGTGGAAGTTCGTTGTGTTTTGGTGTTATATTTTTCTGAAGTAGGACCAGTGTTGGGAGTTACAGATGAAATTCCTTAAGTTTACTAGTGCTGGGAAATT